GACCAAAAAAAAAAAAAAAACCATTAAAATCTAATTGGCTTTATTTGAGGTCATGTGCTTTAAGAACTTCTAAGAGAGTGATGTGTAGTGTATGTATATACCTTAGTAAGGGTGTTGGGGAAATTACAAGGCCTCTTAGCACCAGTGGCATAAGCATATCTGTATTTTTTTCCTAGAAAATCAGGGTTTATGCTGCACATATCAATCCCTTTTCCATGTTCATTTGGGTCCAATGCGGCTTCTAAACTCCCATATGGCCTCCCGTTCAACGGAATCTTGAATCTCCCAACCCTGTATTTTATGATGATTTATGATTATTTAGGCTCTGATATAAGAAAAGTTCGACTTAGTTCTTTTAGTTTCTTTTATTTGCGGCTCGGGTTGTATCCATTGCTTCCCCTTTGGGCTTCATCGGTTTCTTTGTGATGTAAGTTGGTGCCCATTTCGATCATTTGATCTTCCGGGGTTGTAAAACGCTTTTCGAGTTTTATTCTAGTTTATCGTTTGGAAGAAAAAAAAAAAGTTTTGGGTGTTCACATTTCTAATTTTTTTTTACTAAAAAAAAGAATAAGAGAAAGGGAAGTGTCACAAGGCCCATGCATGCAGAAAGCAGCAGTGTTAGAGATGCGTTTGAACTCTTGCTTCCATTTTGTGGCGACACCAACAAAAAGAAGTGCCGTTGGTTTATACAGAGCATAATTATATATTGAATGAGTGTGGGCCTCTGGTTAACAAATCTTGTACACAGGTAGAATTTAATTATTAAAGTGAGAATTAGTGGACAAAACAGAGCTTTTCCACAGTAAAACTATCAGCCATATGCCGGCCATTTAGGATCAGGAACACCTGGTTTGATCATTATTATCTTTAAATTACTGCCTGTATTCGTAGGAGGAAATGAAGAAAGAAGGACGAAAAACTACGGAGAATTTTTTGTGGAGCCATTGGATCGGATGGTTTTTCTTGTGGAGTCGTCTATCACTTACTGTATTGATACCTATCCGAAGTGTATTTACCGTAGGACACGTGTCAATATACTATTTGCTTATTGTGACTCTATAAGTCGTGTCATCTGATGGTTCCATAGTAAAACTGAATACTACAGTATGTGCAAACTTGTTATATAACTCATTAATTAGTTGAGGACTATATGCTTTAGAAGTTGTACCTTGCATCTGGTAGGACATCTTTGCCGGCCAAAGAACGGAGGTTGTGGAGGGTGAGCTTTTGTAAGATGGATGTGTCGGCATTGTGCTC